GGACTAGAAAATCAGGTTTCCTAACAATTAAGACCTTATTCTTTGAACTTTTTAACAACTTTCTTGGGGGAATGGAAAGAAGTAGTGAATCTTCATGAAAACGTTGTATTAATGTGGAAAGGTTTTCTGCCTTGGACGCCCTTAAGAACATACTTATCAGTTTAGTGCAAAAGCACGGATTTTGCTATGGCAACTAGTATTTTTGGTGTGCAAAAGCCTCCAAGACAGGAAATAGATAAATCCTACAAAGGAACTTCTGAGACCCAATGTTAAGGTCATACTTTTCTCAACTAAAAGGCGGGAGTGGCTGGAGCCCAGAACAAATGAGTGAGGTCCAACACAGCCTGGCGTAGATGAACTGCCAGACCAGGGTAGGCTCAGCTGTTCAGTTCAGTGAGGGAAAGAAATGCATGAATGTAGTTAAACCTGCCTCAGAGATATCACGGAAGACCCCAGTGGCTTTCTGCTTGGTGGTGGAGGTTGGAAACAAGGAAACATGATGAAATTGTAGTCTGGAAGACAGAAGTACCAGAGACCCACTGATGATCAGCACTTCAGCTGTAAATTGTAGCAGATCTGTTTCTTTCAGGCTAGATTTTGGTTACTTCAGCTGATCGGCCTTCTGACACTGTAGCCAAAATGACATCAGCGAAGATTAGGGCCCAACACAAACTTTGTTTACAATCCTCACACATGTAATCACTGAATGCTTTTTACTCACTATTCCCAGTGACAGGATGAAGTGTTTGTCCAGAGTATACTGGAAATCCTTAGCAGGCCTAACCTCTATGTGTGTGTTAGAGGGATTAGAAGGGAGGGAAATACAGTTGGGTAAGAGATTAGCTCTTGAGAGTTTAATACATACAACTTCAGGCTAGTTTATTGGATCACATATGACTTTGAAACAATATATTTATATTTTCAAATGTTTCTCAACAAGGACAACAATTACATTCTTGTTCACCCTGAGACTTTCGACCACTTCCCCCTCAATCATTTCCATGACCTTGACCTCCATAAGAAATTATTTTCAAGTTAAAATAAATGAAAAAGAAAATTTTGGTCAACAAGTTCTCATGCAATATAATGATCTAGAAATGGCGTACTTCAGACACCTCTAAATGTAGTAACAGACTGCCCAACTTCACTGATGAGTCCCTAATATTAAAACATAAAGATCTTTTGAATAAGGGAAGTAAATGCTTATGAGATTTCCATCACTGTTTTGTTGCAAATCAAAAGAACAATTGTTGAATTTTCAATTTCTATGAACCCTTAGAAGAAGATCTCTGGTATGTTAATTCTTGAAATTTCCCCCAAGGTACAGGGGGCACAAGGATCAGCTACTTAGCTGAAACAAACAAATACAATGAAAGAATGAAAATCAGGATGACTTATACTAAAGGAACTCATTGAAAAAAATAACTAAATAAAACACGTATGTGACTCCTCAGTGCTGTACATAAAATATACAAGTAGGGAGCTAGGGCCAGGAGCATAAAATCTCACCAAAGACCTTCTCCAGGCCCCTCAGCCGCCACTGGGCTGCTTCCTCAGAACTAAAAGCAGGGAACAGTCTGAAAACCCCTCATTTATAGGAGCACGCACTGCAATGACAACAGTTTTCTCATTGAAAATGAGATCCATAAAATGTATGAAGAAAGAATTTCTCTACAATAGCTAAGTGGAATGTTATTTCTGGAATGGACCTCAGCATATATTCCAGTGGTTTCCAAACTGTTTATGTTCAATACTTTTCCCTCTAGGAAGCACAGTTTAAAAACGTGTCTCATCTCACACTGTAGCTTGACAGAAGGAAACTAAGGCTCTGAGGCCTGTCCTTTGACTCCGCCAATGTCACATATAGCTAGCTGCTCACACTGGTGTGGTGCTCTGGGGTAATGCGCTGGGCTGCAAGGTCGGTGGTTCAAGCTCACCAGCCGCTCCTAGGAAACCCTATACAAGGTCGCTATGGGTCAGAACCAACTCAACGGCATTGAACACCACCACCACCACTAACACAGCCAGAGCCCAGGTCTTCTGAGTTCAGCATGAGCTCCACCAATGGAACTGGCCATGCCTCCACAACACTACTCCCAGCTTTCAGTCTACCCTCATCCTGTAGTCTCTAAGCCCCAACGTCTTGCTCCATCCTCTTGGTACAAGAACCGGCTTCTGGCTTAACTGACAAAAGAAAGGCCATCAAGTATAAATTCCCTGAACATCTTTCCTCCTCAATTTCTAACTACCATAGGCATCCAGGGCAGTCTTTCCTCCCAACCCCCTACCCCGACTTTCTGATGTTCCCCACTGGCCTCTTTCCACCTTCCTTTAGAACCCTACCACTCCATCAATATAGCCATCTCTGCAACTCTATTTTTCTTGCCATTCATTCCTGTAAATAAGCTCAAGAGCCTTAAAGAGTATTCTCCTCTCTTCATTTGCTCTCTCCCTGATGCATCCTCACCATTCTCACACTGCCAAATCCTCGGAATTCACACTTGCTTTTTACTTCCTCAACTCGCCACTACTCTTCCATGCACATGGTCTGCCCAAAGTCACACATTCCGGCATCTGCTTTCAGTGTGACGTGACTTGTCTAGAGCACTCTACAGACCTGAAACGCTCATCTGTAGCTTCTGCCATACTAGTTCCTCCTGCTTTTACGTCGATCTAATTGGAACCCTGGTGTGGCACTGTAGGAGCAGCACTTAACTGCTAACCACCACAAAGTCCCAAGTTCAAAACCCACAAGCCACTCTTCAGAAACCCTATACAATGTTTGTCGGAACCAGCTCAACAGCACTTAACAACAACAACTTCTGATTGCTAAGGAGCCCTGGTGGCATTGTGGGTTAGGCACTGAGCTGCTAAGCAAAGTGGGCAGTTCAAATACAGCAGCCGCTCTGCTGGATGAAACTGTTCCATAAAGAGTAACATCTCAGAAATCTTAATTTAGGGTTGTTCTGAGTTGGAATCAACTCAATGGCAGAGGTTCTTTTGTGTTTTAAAATGTCTTCATCGCCATTTCTTGGTCTCTCTGATGGCCCATGCACTAACCACTGATGTTTCCCGGGACTTCATTCTCTTCCTTTGCTCCTCTGTCCTGGTGTGACACTACTGTGGGTAATGTGCTGGACTGCAAAGTCGGTTTGAACTGCAAAGGCGGGCGGTTCAAGCTCACCAGCTGCTCCTCGGAAACCCTATACACAGTCGTTATAAGTCAGAAGCGACTTGACAACACTTAACAACAACAATGCTTGTAGAGTAAACTGGACTGGACAAACTCATACATCATGAAACTTCAAGCACTAACCGTACGGTCTGTTCAACCCTGACATACAGCACTGTATTCTCACCTATCTATTGGCCAGCTGTGTCCTCGAGCACGCCTACCTCCCAGGGCCCCAAGTGGCTCACATTACGAGGGGGCTTCAAATGTTTGTGGAAAAATAAAGTGAAAAGATAATGGAGTTTTTACACAAATGTTCTGAAGCCCCTTGTCTTTCTCTTTTGAAACCAATCCCTCTGTTCCTTATTTTGACTAATGGCATCACTCAGTTTCTTTTGGAGTTCTTATGACTAATGAGAGACTCAGCCCAAGCCATGGACCTCACATATATAGCCAGCTGAGTCCACCTATTCTCTCCATTCCTATAGTCACGGCTCCGGTCCAGGCCTTCATCTTGCTGGCTCGGGACTATTGTCACGGTCCTCAGACTCCTCTCCCTGCCTTGAGTTTCTCCTTTTACCAATCACTGTGCCACCCGGTAACCAAAATACACTTTCTAAGACACATGCGAGCCATGGCACTCATCAGCTTAAAAGTGGTCCTGTCGGAAAAGGGCAGGTCAGGCTCCGCAGACCCTTGATAACAACATCATGTCACCCAAGTTTTTCAGGCTCTTATCTTACAAGACAGGCTTGTCTCCACGCAGCTGAATTTATCAAACATGCCAAACTCATCGTAGGGTCAAGGCCTTGGCACTTGCCATTCTGTCTAGAATATTCTGCTCCTAGGCAGTTACATCATTTATTCCTCCATCATTCACTCAGGATTCATCCCAAAGGGGAGTCTCCAATTACTACAATTCAAAATAACTTCAGCTCATTTACTCTCTACACCTTTTTTTTTTAAATTATCTTCTTAGCACTTTTCACTGCTTGAAATGACCTGGTTCCTTTGTTCACTGTCTGGTTTCCACATCAAACTATAAGCAAGAAGAGCCTGTCTTGTCTTCTATTTTAACACCACAGAACGAACACAATTCCTGACACAGTGCAGGCACTCAACAAGCATTTACTGAGGGGCTGACTACGTGACTTCTGCTCTCAGAAACAGGGTCACTCTGACTTATAACCAACTCAACAAAAACAACAATGTCTTTAAAAATAGCAATATTCAACCATGGTCATTATTTCATAGACTTGCTGCGAACATTTAACCTAAAAAACTAGCAGTGAAGTCATTAGCACAGTACTTGGTACACAAATGTTGTTAATTTGAGTTAACTCTTATCAGTATGACTGATGATACTACTCCTGGTGTGTTGCTGTAGGACCAGCACTGGCCTGCGAATCACGAGGTTGGCAGTTCAAATCCCACCAGTTGCTCTTCAGAAACCCTCTACAGGGTCGCAATGAGTTGGAACCACCTTGATGGCACTTAACAACAATACAACCACATTACCCGTATTATAATCATAATGATAAAAGGTACATACCTAAGATTCCCATTGTCTTGTAGAATTTGCATCAGGCTAAATTTAGGCCCTGGTTTTCGAGTCTCAATTTTGCAGCTCTGTTCATTTTTATTATTCCATTCCAAAACTTTCAAGGTTTCTTTGGGTGAATTTTCTACCACAACGGTCAATGAGGGTGCATACTTGGCTTGATTTTCTCCAAGGGATCCTGCAGACTCCTCCAAGGAGGCTTCCTGTTCTTCATCTTCATTGTCTAATGCACCTTCTTCCTCTTCTTCACTCTCTGTCTCAGTTTTAACATTCATTTCAGCTGGTTGGGTAATCACTAAATGCGAAGAATCACCATGTTGCTGAAAAAAGGATTAAATTTTCCTCTCTCCCAATACCCAACTTTTACCTTTTTAGTAAAAGCCATTTCTAAACCAGATCATATATGAGGCACCGAAGTGTCACCATGCACATGTCACCCTCCAAGCTTATATACTTTAAAAATTTATTAATGATCTTCATTAGAGTCTATAGTTCTCAGCATAATATAAGGGACTGATTCACAACATTAAAGGAGAAAAATCTTAGATGAGTAATCACTAGAGTCACATGTTTTCTGAAGGACTTCATGGAGCTACAGTGGAGCATCATGGAGTAGGGGATGTACAAAGGACCTTCAAAAAATCCACAGACAAATGGAATGAAAGATAATGGATTTTTCCATTAAATTTTTGAAGCTTCTTTGTATTTCTATCCTATACTTATTCATTATCCTTCTCCTCCACTCACTATAGGTACTACAAGGGCAGAGACCACTTCATTCTTACTCATCAATGTAAAGCCAGTTATGCGCATGCAGCCTAATACCAGTGCTCAGTAAAGAGGAAGGAACAAAGAATCTGGGATAGAAAGAAAGTTCCCTTTGTCTGTTTACATTGGAATTGTTTACGCTATTCAGAAATGCCAAAGGATAGACTGGGCTTTATGCCTGAACATAAAAACCTGAACAATAAGGCTCAAAATTCCATTGAACTGAAGCTAACAAGATAGAGTATGAGGTGTTTACATAATGTTGGAATAAGAGCAAAAGCCAAAATGCATGTGTTTCAGCTGTTCTCCACTGCAAACAGTATAGAATGGGAGGTTTAAAATCTATAATTTAGAAATTCAGTTTCAGAGAAAAAGGCTACAAAAAAGAACTAAGCACATGTGGTCAAGGAGATTTCGGACTCATTAGGTATTGATTAAGAAACCAGTTCCCACAGTCTAGGAGGCTAGGGTAACGAGTTCAGTGAAAGCACACCAGCAGGTACCTGGGTATTTTGGCCTCATCGTCCTTAACCTGCCACTCCGACGTCTACGTTTCCGCACTTCCAGAGACAGGAGCTTCCGTTCATAAAGAGCTGCATGCAGCTTGGCCTTCGAGTTCGTACTCTCCACCTTTAATTCCGGTGCTCCTTCAGAAGTCATTCTGAAAAAAACACACAATATGGTAGGTACCACCTGCATACAGTTCCCGTCTTGATTACACTCCGAACACGGCAGAGTTCTGTGTGATAGAAGACTCACAAATTCTCAGAGGTCTGACAGATAAATAAATAGGGGGAAGGAGGATTGGAACCTACAGTCAAACCCACTAACGAATCTGTAAAATATTCTGAGCAAAGATACATTTGAAGACAGCATTTAAGTATTCAGAGTCCCGAGGGGCGCTGTAGGATAAGCACTTGACTGCTAACCACAAGGTCAGCAGTTCACACCCACCAGTCACTCTTCAGATACCCTATACAGGATCACTATGAGTGGGAACTGACTCAACAGCACTTAACACCACCACCAAGTATTCAGTAATACTGCTATTTTTCTACTGCGCGGACCATAAAGTGCTACTTTAAAATGAATAAGACATACCAGTAACATATTAACTTTTAGGCTAGGCGGCCGCAGGAGGCGTTTGTTTCATTCTTAGTCATTATGTCTTACAGAGCCCATTACTGTGGAGTCAATTCGGACTCACAGTGATCCTACAGAACACGACAGAACTGCACCCTGTAGGGTTTCCAAGACCGTAATCTTTATAGAAGTGGACTCCACACCTTTCTCCTACAGCGTGGCTTGCTGGATTGGAACCACAGACCTTTTGGTTAGCAGCTGAGCACTTAACCATTGTGCCAGCAGGCCAATGCATACAACATTAAATAACTATAGAATGAGTAAGGCTGAGATGAGGTGAAGTGACTTAAAAACCATCATGACCTAGGGACTCATCAGGCCTCCAGAGGGCCAACCCAGCTCCTGTTCCTCCTTTAGATACTAATTAGCCAGCAGAGTCCGTGGAGAGAGGTGGCAGGGACTCTGCACGTATTGAATGCCAGTCAGAAAGGAAGAAAGAGTCAGAGATGAGAGGTATGGGATCACCTTAGAAAAAGCAATGTGGTCTTTGTTCTTTGCTCTTCTAAGCAATACCAACACTAGTGGCTAATGAGTGGAAGTTGACCAGACCAGGAGGGACTACTGGGGGCCAATGCTGACTTACTGTTGTTAGGAGTCATCAAGTCAGTACCAACTCGTAGTAACCTTGTATAGAGTTTCCAAGGAGTGGCTGCTGAGCCTGAACTGCCGATCTTGAGGTTCAAAGTGACCTTGCAGTCCAGTGCATTTAACCCACAGCACCACACCAGGACTCCAATGCTGACTAAGCCTCCCCTATCAATCATGGTCACAAGCTCAGACCAATAAGAGCTGTGGATCCTGAGACTCGTGCACAGCTTACTGGTTGGTGACCATGCACAGGGGAGAGCCTTGTGGGGACATGGACAACCCACACCGTGGCCCTTCCCAGATATCACTCGATGTGTCTCTTCACTTGGTATCTTCCTGGTTGTGATAGAGCTATAGCTGTATATGCTCCATGAGATTATGTAAACCAGCAAATGAATGAACCCAGAGGAGTAGTGAGAGCTAGAGGGGGCTTGTTCTGGGGGGAGCTGGCTCTGAGACAGTGCCGCAGGAGCAGCTGATGACAGGATGGAGAAGCGGAGCAGCAAGGGTAGGAACCGTTTCCACAATCTGGAAATGGGACTCTGCAGATACTTACCACACAGTAGCAATATAGTTGGGATTTGCCTATGAAGCCCTAGGTTTAATGCACAAAGGCAGGTAGATGAAGGACAAGGCCAAATTCAATTCTCATGAGTGGGACCACAGCTGGGGAGAAGGGGATGGCAGCAGCTACATTAGACATTAAAGTAAGACAAACCCCAAATCCGGCTTAGCCCAGACAAGGAGTCAAGGGCAAAGAACAAGGCAGACAAAGATGACAAGTCACCAAAGAGAGTGAGAGCTCTAGGTCATGGCAATGTCTAAAAACAGGAAGTCTGAGATCTTAGGCTCTAACTGGTTGGTTCTGAACTCTCTCTGTTTGTGAGCACTTTCCTTTGAGGTCAAGGACTCATCTTAATTCCTCTGGGAGTTTTCAGTTTCTGAATCTAAAGGAAAGGCTGTGTCTTTTGATCTATTTAGGGCTTTTTGATAAGAATTTCTGGGTGGCTGGCCTAGGTAGTAAATCTACGAAGGCCTTCCCTCCAGAACATGGGAGAAATGGGAAACAAACGAGTAAACTTTAAAAATAGTTTAAACCCAACTTATCACAGTCCCTACGATTGAACCAAAAAAAAAAAAAAAAGCCTGTGAAAAATAGATTTTCAGTCAATTAAATAATAAAATAAATCTAACATAAAAAATAAAAATCACATATGTCATTTGTTTGAATGAATGTCTGATCAACTCAGTCAAATTTGATCATTCTATAGGCAAAATCTATGGGGTATAACCTGGCATCTCCATTCTGTAGGCACACAAACATCGCTCCCTTCACAGAGAGAGTATTTTCAAAACTGACTGTGAGCCGAGATAGCTTCATGTTTAGGCTCATCCTGATTAAATGGGTGGGAGTCAATATGCCACTTCAGAAAATTCAAGCTTTGTGCCTGTTCTCATGAAGCGACGCCCACTGATAAAACAAGATTGTTGATAGTTCTTTGTGTCTGGATTTTCCAAGAACTTTGTCTTTCAGGCTGTGGTTGTAGTCAGATGCTGTTGAGTCACTTTCAACTCACAGCTACCTCGTATAACAGAAGGAAACAGTGTCTGGTACTGTGTCATCTTTACAGCAGTAGGTATGGCTGAGTCCACTGCTGCAGCCAATAATCATAACAAATCTTTTTTCAAGATAGAGAGATTCATTCGTCTCAGCCAAGTTCTCAATATCACACAGATACACAAAAAGTTTCTGAGAATAGGAATATTAAAAGATCAGAAATAAACAAAAGTTACTAAAAATTTCCTTAAAATAGAGATATTCTATAATAATAACTGTGAACTGTGAACTCTGGCTAACAGATAAATCCTAATGAATAGAAGAGATGTAGGGTAGGGACTGCTAAGGAAGATGTAAACCTGGTAAGTCAGAAGTACAGGCCCATACGGGCAAGGCCACACCTGTCTTGTTGATCACACTGGATGAGTGATGCTTATGAGACTCCCGATCATACACTCAATTCTCTACAAATAAACTGTCATACCTTTTAGCTATACCTACTTGATTTTTCAAGCATTTTATTACAAAAACATTTTTTTAAAAGTTTAAAGAATTGTGGATGAATACCCACACAGCCACCACTTAGTTTCTACCAGTAAACTTCTACTATACTTCATCACACACCGAACCAGCCAGCCATTCCTCTACTTACTCAGCAATTCACCTGCTTTCAAAGGATTTCAAAGCTAAGTTACAGACATCAGTGCACTTCAATCCTAACCACTTTTGCAGGCATGATTAACAATGGCTAGAGATCAGTATTCGTATGATGGCTTCCCCCACATTTTTTGGGGCAAGGTAAAATGTATATACAGTGAAATATCCAAATCCTACCTGTCCATATTTGACAAATGTGCAGAACCATGTAATCCAAACGTTGCCTACGTATAAAACATGAGTTATCTCAGAATGAGCTCATGTCTATTCCCAGTCGATCCCACCCTCATGCCCCTAGATGCAACAATTGTTTCAAATTTTGCACTATGTATTAATTTTGTCTGTTTCAGAGCATCATAAAAATGGAACCATACAGTATGAACTCTTTTGTAAAGCTTCTTTCATCCAAAATGCTTTTTTGATTCCTCCATGTTTGTATCACTAATCACAGTCCTTTTTATCACTGGGTAGTATAGTCCATAAGGAGCTCTGGTAGCATAGTGGTTACGAATTGGGCCGCTAACCTGAAGTCGGCAGTTCGAAACTACCAGCTGTTCTGCGGGAAGAAGATGAGGCGTTCTGCTCCCGTAAAGATTTACAGCCTTGGAAACCCTGTGCAGGGTCACTAAGAGTCGGAACCGACTCCATGGTACTTAACAACAATAGTACAGTCCATTGTTGTAATAATCCACAGTATACACAATCTCGTGTTGATGGACACCCAGGCTGTTTCCAGTTTGGGAGGACTATGAATGTAATCTAAATAAAGACACTACCTCATAGCTTTCTATGAATGCTTCTGCATTCAATAAATAGTACTAGAAATTTTTCTTAAGAAGCAGATTCTAGTTTTCATTTAGTTACATTTCCACATTACCAAAAACCCCTACTGATGGCAAAAATAAAACAAGAGCAAAGAAATGGAGAAAGAAAAGTCCCATTGGCCTTAAAATATTCTTTTAAAGGTTTTTTCCTTTTAAATTTTCAGATCAATAATGTTATACCCTAAGGGGTCATATGCGTTCACTAAAAACTTCCTAAAACATAAAAATAAGCATGATTTTCATTTGGAGTCAAACTGTAAGCTTCCTTTCTCTCAGCTTCTCCCTTCATTAAATGACAAGTCTGATATCTTCCTTCCTCAAAGAAAAATTTAGACGTACACTTCAAATCATTTAAAACAAACTTAAGAAGCCAAGTTTGTTTTAAATAATTCTTAAATGCAAAATAAGAGATCGTATTACTATTGCCACTAATCCTTTTAAAGAGGTCCAGCATGAAGGTGATGTACCTTAGGTCTCAAATGCTCTATTATCTGAGAATCTGTGTTTAGTTTCAAATGTTTTTGTTAAGACCTTTCTCTCCTTGGCCACAATGAAGAGCCACAGATAATTTGCACACTTCTAGTTTTGTGGCTCAGTCCCTGAAGGCAACAGGATGTCAAGGCCAAAAAATAAACTCTTACTTGAATCAAACATAACAGTAGTCTAAAGATCTCATTCAAGCATTAGCATCTTTCATACAAACACACAAGGATACTCTTATTGTATCCCATACAATACAAACAAATTGAAATATATTATCTGTAGCTTTAATACAGTAAATCCCAACCTTAGTTTGTGAAAATTGGCCACAAAATACTGTTTCAGTAGAACATATGTTGATGTTATTATTCAAGCTGAGCCGAATTGAAAACGGTTTTACAAAGTACTGTG